TTCAATCCCTGGCATCACACACACACACACACACACACACACACACACACACACACAAGAATTCTGTTTAACTTGGTATGATTCTGGTAAATAACTGGGGGGAGACAGGAGCAGTCATCCCATTGTTTCTATGGAATATAACCGCTACATCCAAGAGAAGTGAAAACATATGTCCATGTAAACATGAACACAGGAATGTTCATGGCAGGATTAATTATCCATAATATCCAAAAAGAGGAAACAACTGAAATGTCCATCAATGACAGACCAACAATACGTGGTGTAGCTGTCCGATAGAATACTAGGTGGTAACAAAAAAAGAACAAACTATTCATGTGTGCTACACAACAGAGATGCTGAGATTTCCTAAGTGAAACAAACCAGACATACAGGTCACATGTTACACGATGCCACTTAAAAATCTTTGCAATAAGGCAAATCCAGACACAGAAAGTTAGCTCATAGCTAGGCAGAAGAGAGGAAAAATTAGTGGCTGCCAGTAAGTGTGGGTTTCTTTAGGGGATAATGAAACATTCTGGAATTAGTGGTGACTGACTACTAAAAACCACTGAGGTATGTATGTTCCAGTGGTAAATTTTATGTGAATGATCTCTCTCTCTCTTTCTTTCTCTCTTTCTTTCTCTCTTTTCAGTAATGTTAATTGAGCCCAGGGCTTTGCACATGTTGACAAGTACTCTTTCCTTGAGCTACATCTCAAGCCTTTTATTTTTCTGAGACAGGTCTTGCTCAGTTGCCCAGGATGGCTTTAAAAACTTGAAGTCTTCCTGCTTCAGCCTCCCGAGTAGCTGGAACTATAGGCATGTGCCACTATACTTGACTTATCACAACTTTCATAAAATAATTCAATCAAAACTTAATGTAGTAGGAAGATAACCAGGCCACTGAATCTTGGTCTGCAGACCATGTGCTTAGCCATTTTGCACTTCATAATCACAGGGTCATTAAAGCTACTTCCTTCCACTGTTTTTGCCTGGCAAGTGCAGGGCCCTGAGTTCAAGGCACTGCCTTCCTTCTGTAACACAGGCCCCTCCACCCTAAGCAGAGAACCCAAACAGGCAGAGTGGCATGAGGTTCAAGCTCAGAGCCCAAGCAGCACCAGCATCAGTGCAGCTGGTGTCATGGCCTCCATTGGACTTTTATCTGCTCCGTCTGCTTATTTTGACAGCAGTTGGGAAGGCAAAGTTCCTAAGCCTTTCCTCCTCCCCAGAAGATGTCAGTTCTAATGACTGATCATGACATGTATTTGTTTCTTTTTTCTTTAATGTATTTGGTACAGGGTCTCACTACGCACCTTGGAATTACAGTGATCTTCCTGTTTTCAGCCTCCCCTGCCAGGGATGGAATCCTGGTTCCTGAGCTAGCCTAAGTAGGTGCTTAGTCTGCTGAGCTATCTCACTGGCCCTATGACATGTATTGGACAGATGGGTTTCATTTTATTTGGATGATATGAAATTCACCTTAGTTTTAAAGGAATTATAAAAACAGTGAAAAGGGGTTGAGGGGATGGCTCAGTAGAATAAGCACTTGCCTGGCAAGCGCAGGGCCCTGAGTTCAATCCCCAGTACGGCAAAAAAAAAAAAAAAAAAAAAAAAAAGTAAAAACAGTGAAGCTGAATTATAGAATATTAGAACAGAATTTTGGGGAGTTATCACCCGGCCTGATTCTCTTACTTTGGTTATGGGGTTACAGAGGCCCAGAGAAATAAGGTAGCTTGGCCAGTATCACATGGCTAATACTATTTGATGCCTTGCAATATCTAATACCTGTCTTGCTTTTTTTTCCCTAGAAATGCCACTTTCCCCCTTCAGCTGTGTGCGTGATTATGTGTAATAAAGTCCACATTTTCTAGTGAGACATAGTTGTATGACTTAAATTCTGATCAGTGGGGATGGACTCAGAAATGTTATGAGCAAGTCCTGTGAGTACACTTAAAGGTCAGGGGTTGGGTGGGATACCTCGTTCTTCCTTTGGCTGAGTGGGTTGCAGATTACATAGATAGAGTTCAAGCAGCTGTCCTAGGCCATGAAGTACAGGTGGAATTTGTAGGAAGGCAAGAAGAGTGTTCTAGAGCCGGGGAGATGGCTCAGTGGAATAAGTGCTTTCCTGGCAAGTGCAAGGGCCTGAGTTCAATCCCTGGTTCCGCCAAAAAAAAAAAAAAAAAGAGTGTTCTAGGTTTCTGACAATTATGTAATTGTCATAGCAGCTCTGAGATGCTCATCTCTATACCTTATGTGAAGAGAAATAGATGTCTATTTTTGTCAGCTTCTGTTATTTCACTCTTCTGTCACAGCTGAATTTTAATGGATGCAAATGTAAACAATAAAGTTGAGCTGAGCACTTAGGTCTCCTAACTCCAAGCATGGAACAATTTGATACTACACTTATTACTATAGAATTAATAATGAATGTCACAGGCTAAGATAATAACTTAATGGTAGAGCACTTGAAAGTGTGAGACCCAGCACCACATGCCATGCTGGCCTGCCCTCCAGGCGCGCTGAGCCAGCCACTGAGACCAGGCATGGTGGTGCATGCCTGTAATCCTAGTGCTGGGGAGGCTGAAAAAGGAGTATCACTACAAGTGTGAGCTGCATAGTGAGATCCTGTACCAAATACATGAGAAAGAAAGAAAAAAGAAAGAAAAAAAGAAAGAAAGAAAGAAAGAAAGAAAGAAAGAAAGAAAGAGAGAAAGGAAACATGAGGTTCCAGGTTTGACTCCCAGCACTGCAAACAAACAAATAAGCATACATGTCAAACTATGCTAAGTGTTTTGTATATAATAGTTGCTGGTAATTTTTGAGTTCTTACTATAGGCTAGTCACTAAATACTTTAAATATCATTAGCTCATTTAATTCACATGGAAATTTCAGTAAAATGGTCTATTGTATTTTGGCAGTACTAGAGGTTGAATCCAGGACTTTACCCTTGCTAGACAAGTGATCTGCTACTGAGCTACATCCCTGGTACCCCAAATAGGTCTATGATCATCATTTCCATTTTAAAGATGATGAACCTGAGGCACAGACAGACTGAATAACTTGCCTAAGATTACAAACATGTATATATAGCAAGAGGGAGAGCTGAAAATTGAACCCTATCTGGTATTAGAAGCAGATTCCTAATCTGTGTTCTCTCCCCAGACCACCCTGCTGTCTCAGAGGCCACCTGGGCAGACACATACCTCCACCCTCTGCCTTTGCAACACACACACACACACACACACACACACACACACACACACACACAGAGCGCCACCCAGCAGGCACCTAGACATTTTTGTGGCCAGGATGGCTACAACCTCCTTTGAAAAGCAGCCAGCTTTTGCCCTCCACCAAATAACTTTGTTTTATTTATAGTCTCCTGCTCAGAGCTTTTGAACTGGCTGCTCATTCCAGGGAAGATCTTGATAACAACTGTTCTTTGGAGAGGGTTCATAGGAAACAGGGTGAATAAACACCACAGAGCCCCTGCCTGTCTAGCAGAGCTTTGCTCCTGGGGGTGTTTATACGTCGGTGTTGGTGTCTGGGCCCAAAAGACTTTGAATTCAAAATGGCAGCGTAACATTTTTATTTTTGTTGTTGTTGTTTTATTTCAAAAGATTTCAGTCTTTACCTTCAACAATGCTCAAGGCAAAGCCAAAAAGAGAAATTATCTTCATCCAGAAGATAAATGCAAAGGAAACAGTCTTTTTAAAAATTTATCTTCTTGCTTTCTTTGCCCCCTGCCAGGTCAGGGGCCTATGATAAGTTACCTTCCTGACTAGGGGCCAGAAATGGGATCCCTCATTCTATGAATTTATGAGGGCTAAAATGTAAGAGAGGCTATAAGGAATTTCATTTTCTTAAAGTATCAAAGTTTATTTGATATATGGAATTTCAGAGCAGAATGATAGAAACAATAACAACGATAAACAAAAAAACAGAGAAGCTGAAGAAGAGGTGACCCTTTGAGTTTATAATGTCTTCTGAGTTGTGGGCAAAGGTTCCACCTTAAAGCATGACTATAGCTACAATATATGTCTAGTTACTCAGATGGGATGCTAATCTTGGCCTCATCAGTTGCTAGTTATGTCACCTTGGGAATATCCCTCAGTTTACTTTCTATAAAACAGGGCTATAAATACAGGAGTATTGTGAGACTTGACATTAACCAGGCATAGGAAAAAGTGTCTGATTCAGAAAGGACAGGCACTTAGCTTTCAAGTTAGCTACTGGGTGCTGTCTCAATTGCTTACTTTGTGGTTGCTACAGGGGATGAAATTGGGGTGTTCAGGGCAGCGAGCCACAGGGTGTATGGGGCACACTAGCAGGGCGCAATCTTGGCTCTCAAGTTCAGTATCTTTATTTGCTTTGACTCAATCACAGTCAGAGGCTCTTCTGGTTACATGAGGCTTCTGTATTGGAGTCCCCCAAATGGCTAGTAGAGGAACTAGAAATTCTGAAGGGTATGGCGGAGATGAGCCATCTTATGGGTCCTATGACGACCCCAGGTGGTTTTAGAGTGGATATGTGGGATCTCTTTAGAGAAATGGTCCTTCCTCAAGGATCATGTGGGAGAAAGTGATGGTATGATGGGATAACAGGGTCTGTAAGAACCTTATGGATGACAATGAGTTTTTCAAAGGGAAAATATGTTTTCAGGGAGGCCTGAGTGACATCTCTATGCCAAAGTGGGAGGACACCACAAGGAAAGTTTCTTCAATGGCCTTGGGGGTCTCCCTGCTGTAATCAGAACCTCTTTAGGAGGTCGTAGTGGAGTTTTCTGAGGGAGATCAGCCCGCGCAGGCCTACAGGTGCCCACGGAGGTCCTGCCCAAGTCCTCGCGGGCACGTGCTCAGGGAGCTGGCGGGCTAATACTTGGGTCCCGCCCCCCGCGGCCCCGCCTCCCGAGAGCGGACTACAGTTCCCAGCATCCCCAGCGGGTGGCGGCGGCGCGGGCGGGAGGGGGCGGCCTGTGAGAGGTGGAGGGGGCGGCGCGCTCCGGGCACGCGCGCCGGCGACCATGGCGTTTGCCCGGCTGGAGCGAGTACATTAACCCCGGGAGGCGGCGGCGGCGGAGGGAGCGAGCGAGCCTCGAGCGGGCGGGCCCCAGCCTGAGGGAAGGGAGGAAGGGGCGGGGAGAGCGCCAGAGGGAGGCCGGTCGGCCACGGGCGGGCGGGCAGCGCAGCGCCGAGCAGGGCCCGCGGGCCCATGAGGAGGCCCGGGGACCATGGGCTCCAGGATCAAGTGAGTGCGGCCGGGCGGAGCCGGGCCGGGCGCGGGGCGGCGAGGCCGGGCAAGGGCTGCAGGCCGCGGGTCGCGCGTGGGACTTGTTGCCTGGACCCCAGGGGCGCCGCGCGTGCGGGCGTCACGCGGGGAGGGGGATGGTTGCCATGGCGATGCGGGGAGGCGCGGGGGCGGGGTGGAGGGGCGCTGGGTATCAGGTGTCCCCCTCCTCACCTGATGGCGGGAACAGCTGAGGTTACGAGATGTCTCCCCTCGGGCGGGTTTACCCGAGAGCCTTTGAATATGGGAGGGGTAGTGGGATACCTCCGGAAGCAAGTCCCCAAATGGGTGTGTTTGGGGCGCCCCCGAGAGTTGGCAGGTTCTGAGAGTGCATCATAGCTGCCGGAGGCCTGCGGCCCCCACAGAAGTGATGTGTGGATTTTTAGAAGGAGGGGGCCTTGGTGGATTTAAGGTTTATATGGCCTGTGGAGGAAGGCCCTTCTGTCCTCCCATTCCCCCTTATCTGTGAAAGTCCCCACACACAAGGGTCAAAGGCTAGAAGGAAGATTCCGCTGTTGTAATTGAGCACCTGATCTCTATAATCTGTAACCCAATCTGGGCAAATTCTCCCATTCATTCACCTGTGGTGCCCAGTGGGTGTTAATTTTCCAGGGACATGTTGATACATCTAAGTTCAGAATCCGTTGGAATATTGTTGCCTTCTTCCGAACATAAAAGTTGACTTGGAAAGTACAACTTTTATGTGGTCCAATTTGGGTGTGTTGCCTTTGACTCTATCTCTCCTCCCAGCCGAGTCCTCTTTTGGCCACTCCCTTCCTCAGACTCAGAACATGAGATGCTTTATCTCTAATCACTAACAAATGTTCGCTTTTTCTCTATGACTAATAGAATTGTTTAAGGGTATTTAAAAACAAACTTGACAGCGCAGGCTTTTTGGTAAAACAGCTTTCACAAGACACTTTAAACCCTCTTGCAAGAAAGTCTGCGGAATGTGTTTATTTCAGCATTTTAAGAACTGTACTAGGGAAGTTTAAAAGGGGAAGAGCCTCAAGGGCAAAACCTAATAATTATTCAAACATTGCCTCTCATGTCTAGGTGAAGCTGGTTCAATATGACCCTTGCCCAGCCTGTGGTCCCCTGAGTGGTTAGGCTTCTCATTTACAAACTGTGTCTAATAGGTGCTGCAGTAGCTTTGAGACATTTAGTAAATGAAATAAGTTTGCTTATATGGAACATGGAAGTGTTAGATGAGCATGCTGTTTATTTTTGTTGAAATGGGGGGGGGTAGAAGTGTGCTCCAAATAAGAGCTTGAAAGACTGAGGAGGTTAAAAGATGCAGTTTGTACTGTATTGGGATTAAAAAGGCCCTTAAACTATAGTTCTTGCTTCCAAGTAAGAATTGTAAACTTGAATTTCAATAGCACTTAGAAACACTTTCCAAAAGCCATCTTAGAGTTGCAGAGTATGTGTGAGGATGCTTACTTTTCTTGTTGTGGAAGAGTTCAGAAACTTGAATGACACCAATGTCAGAAATGGCTTTAAACTCCTATAAACGGAAGTTCAGATGATTGTCAGGTCCCTCTCTTCTTGACAGTAGCACGTTGACAAGTATGTTTCTCAAGTACATTTTGTGGAACCCATCACTATAATATCTGAGCATTAGGGCAAAGGAATTTACTAAGGTGTGAAATTAGTATGAAGAATAGATTTATTGATCTTAAAACTAAACTGCTCTGTGGTAAAATTTTAGGCTTGGGAAATGTGTTAGTTTGTGGTGCGACTGAAAGCAAACATGAAAAGAGAAGTTATGAAAAGTAGTTGTGATTTATGGTGACTGTTGATTATGCAACTTCCTCCTGATGCTGGGAATGGGGGTAGACAGGTGCCGAGGAAACTGTGCTGAGGAAACCACCTACTAAGCCAGCCTAGTCTTTGGAGAACACAGAGTGTGGGCTACTATTGATCATTTCAGGCTAGCAGGACAGAATAGATGTTGGCTCAAGGTGTTCACTTGGCTGAGGTGGAAGCTAAGTGTTGAAGTTTTGCTAGGTTAGTGGGAGGTGGGGCACACTGCAGGAGGCATCAAGCAGTAGAACACTATGGCTGCCTGTGTTTTTTCTCTTATCTCTGATGCTTGTGGTGTCACAAGAACAATGTGGAATCAGATTTGGGTTCAAATTCCAGCTCTTTCAGGCTAACTATAAAACAGTGCAGACTACCTTTTAATCTGGGCTCTCCGAGGGCTGAAGGAGGTCACCTGTGACCAGGTTGTAGAATCATTATGGGCAATAAACAGCACCAACAAGAATGTTGGGGTCATATTAAAAACTCAGTAATTGTTTGGATTTCTAAAGTACATTTTTATCAAAAGACTAAGAACATCTGATATATTTTATTTTAGAATTGTGAGAGAAAGGTGTGTTTAAGCAATGGAGAAAAAAATTAATGGTCAAGGACTTAAGACTGTTAATGTGCAGAGCAGGATTTTGTCATATTATTAATAAATAAAAGTTGATTAAAAACAATACTGTGTGTAATTGTGGAGCTCATGTCTGTTGCATAATCAGTGGTAAAGCATGTGAGTTGCTAGGCGCAGCTGGTGAGATTTAGTGCTTGGTCAGACCTTCAAGCCAAGGCTGTTGAGCACAATATCAAATCCTCACAGCTGTCCAATGTGCTATTTGTTAATCACCTTTCTCAAATGAGGGTGTGAAAGTCTAGGTCTAGAATTAGATGCCACCCCCAGGAAGCCTTCATTGATGTTTGTTCTCTAGTGCTATGCTGCCGCAGCCCACCCATAGCCTAGACCAGATGCCCCATCTATGTTTCTGTGGCCCTTTTTATCAGTGCCATGGGGCCGTGTCTAGTTGTCTGTCACACAAACTTTGACGCAAACTTAACAAGGGCAGAAACAATGTTACCTAATTTTGTTGTGTCAAACACTCAATGACTGGTGCTTGTAAATTTCAATGACTGGCACATGGTTGTTTAGGAAGAGTTTATGGGATACATTGAAGAAACATGTTAGGCTTTGAATTAAAATTCTACCTGAGATTGGGTTCTCTGATTTGAATATACACAAAGTTAAAAGAATTTGCTATATAAACCCTTGAGGAAGAAGAGTTTCTAACAGTTTTAAGCCAAATTGTCCTGCTCTAAGCAGGATCTTCTTTTACCAAAGAGTGTTTAGTTTGTTTTTTAAAAAGGACCATTGTCTTGCTTCAAGCCAAACTTTAGTCCATGAAGGAAGGTCACCCATATGCAGATAGCATCCAGGAAGCCTAAATCTTAAGTCTGAGCAGACGTTGGTCTGGATGGATGAAAGGAGCAGTGGTAACTGACAATCTTCGACAGGTATGTTAAATCTTACTTAGTGTTTGAGTGATCCCGGTGGACCAGAATGTGGTTAATATGAAGCAATTTAACTGATAATGCAGACACACAGCAGGAAACTGTGCGGCAGCTTAATATTGCTTGTGGTGACATCCTAGAAATTGCTTCCAGGCACTAAGTACAGGAAGTGGGTTGTAAGTAATCGAAGGAAGTATTCTAAGTGAGTTTGAAGAGACTTGACATTTATGGCCTCAGAGAAAAGCATACTAATACATTTGCAGGTATGGGGACCAAACAGGGCAACTGATTTGGCCTTGTGGTTGCTCTGCGTTAACCTGTATACCTGTGTTCTGTCCCTGTCAGACTGTGACCTCTGTGACATTGGTACCCAAGAAATTTATCCATTCACTCCTTTATTATAGAACTGTGTGTCAAACAGAGTAAGCATTGAGTAAATAGTAGCCATTATTGTAATTAGCCGTATGTGCCTGGCTTTGTGCTAAGTACTAGGCACACAAAAGTAAAAAGTGTTTTCTTTGCTTTAACACTTTCTAAAATTGTAAGCATAAATGTAAAACCAAAACACTCCTTCCCCAAGCTTCTTAAACCCTACCAAAACTCCAAGTACAATACAGTAAAGTAATTGCTGATGTGGATGAATAGATAATGAAGTTTAGGAGAGATTGCCCACTCTGAGGGATCAGGAAAAGAAGTCTTCATCAAGGAGATAATATTTAAGCTAAAGAATGAGTGAGGGTCTGAAGGGGTTAAGGGCGGTGGATAGAAGGAGAAGTGGTGAAGGTGGCATTACCAGTGGTAGTATTTACAGAAGGAATGGCAATGTTAGAGAAATAAAAATATTGCCATTTATTAGCATTTACGTGTCAGGAAGTGTGTTGAACATCAGGAATTCTAATGATAAGTACAGATTTGTCCGTACTGTCATGAAGTGCTTATAGTCTGGTGGATCTGACAGATAAGTGAACTCAGTAAATTCACATGAGTCTATATGGATATGTTTAAAGGAACAAGATGCTGAGTGATGGGAGTGGCTGTTCTATTTTGGAGTAGTAAGGGTGGCCTCACAGTGGAGATGACATTTGGGCTGAGACAAAAGGATGAAGAGGTATTAGTCATGTCAAGAGACCAGGTAAGACTTATTATTCAAGGCAGAGGGTAGAGCATACATGAAGTTCTGGAGGTAAAGGAACCCTGGATGCATTTCAGGAACTGATAGAAGATTTGAGTAGTGAGTCAAAGAGGCTTGAGATGAGGTCAGGGAGCTTGAGGTAGGTTTTGTAGGTTGTGGTAATCTGAAAACTACCAAAGATGTTCACATGCTATACCATTTATTCTTTTAAAGTAAATGGCTTTTAGTATATTTACAGAAGTGTGACTGACCACCACTATTGAATTCCAGAGTATTTTCTTCACCCCAGTAAGAAACTTCATATTCCCAAGCCCTCCAAACCTTAGGCTATCACTACTTACACTTGCTGTGATTCTGGGCATTTCTTGTAAATGGAGTGGTACACAGTCTCTCACGTGTCTAGTTACTTAGTGTAGTGGCTTCAAAATTTAACCATGTTGCAGCCTGTGCAAGTGTTTATTCTTTTTTTTTTTTTTTTGAGACAGGATATGTAGTTCAGGCTAGCCTTGAACTCACT